GTGCCACCGAGAGTTACCAGTACTTCTGGCACACCTGTCTGCTTGAATAAAAACAACTGTCCTTCTAATAGTCACATGGCTCATTACAAAGCTCAACGTGCGTTTCATCCCCAAACTGATTTAAATCCCAAAATATTCTGAGACGAGATTATATACAAAATTGTCTAAGACTGGAGACCAAGAAAAAGAGCCTATTTCGACTCTAGCAGAACTAGCACTAGCAAAAGGGCTATTATTTTACCTGCAAAATAGACTCTTCTTGGAAAACGTCTTCAAAAGGTCTCTCAAAAACTCGTTATGTGCTCTCGCAGCCAGTGCTTACAGAGTAATTTTCTGAGAAAATCTAGGTAATATCTTGGCACAGAAGGCACCTGATGTGCTAGAATCCATCTACGCCATTTGCCTCGTATTAACATGGCAGCGTTGAAATACTTCTTAGGAATTCAGTTAAAATATGAGAATTCTCCAACAATACGGCTCTTGGTAGCTTTATATACTCCCTAGCTATTGACCATAGTGAACTAAAGGAACAGCAACAAAATGACTCTTTTTAATTGTCTGTATTGACAATATGTTAAAAGTGGGTGCAAGCTAAGAGGAAACTGCATGGGCTTAATTTGGGGCCTTTTATATTGTTTCACTGAATCCTTATATGGCTCTTCCCGTTTGCCAGGTACTGTTACGAGTGCTTGGAAATACTGATTTATTTCATTGTCATAAGCAGCCTGCAAGAAAGGCACTGGTATTGCTGTTGTCTTTCTTGAGAGAACGGAGGCTCAGAGAGATTAGGTAACTTGCCTGACATCACACACAGCTAGAGCTGAGCTCCAAACCCGGGCCGTCTCGCTCTAGTCTGTTAATAACCAGCACACTGAGCCACTCATTGTTCCTTCTTCCTAAGAGAATCTTAAAATCAAGGCCGGGTACCTATAAACCAATTACCTATAGAAGATGATGGAATGGAAACGGATCTTTCCCTCATAAATATAAGGCAAGAGGTTTCACTCCAACATTAGCAAGGCCCCTTGTAACTGGCTGTTAGATCCCGTTCCCCGGGGAATTCCGCCTCATTTCCAGAATCTTCATTCTTCCCTCTTCCCTGCACTCCCTGGCCCCTCTGGTCTTCGTTTGTGTTCCTAACAGCCCTCAGCTTTCCTCCTGCCTCCAGACTGATCCAGTCTATCCTCCGAGTTCAAGAAAGATGTTTCTAAAACAGGAAACTGTTGTCTGGTCGGTCTCAAATCTCTTCAATGTCGCGGCTTTATTCTGCGGATAAAAGCCCGATGATGTAGCCTAACAGATGAAGCACTCTCTGTCCCTGCCCCCTTCGTTATCTTGCCCCAACCTGGCACACAGCAGGTGGCCTTGTTCCACGGGTGCCCTTTACTCGAGCCATCCTGAGCTGAGCTCTTTGCCATTCTCTCCCTCCCGCTGTTCCCTTCTGCAGCTCCCTTCATCCCTGCCCCTGCCTCCAACTGGCAAAGCCAGTCTTCACTAGATCATTCTAACGCACCCTTCACAATCCAGAGCAAGGGTCTTTTTTTTCTTCCACCCAAGAATGGATCTAGATGCCCCCTTTCCGTGCTCATTTAGTAAAAGGCATTTCTGTTCTGCCTCTTGGCAATACAGGCTCCTCCCCACACACTCAGACCCCAGGGCTACACAAACGGTGATCTGCTGATGGCTGTCACTGTCACGTGGAGGCTGATTGGATATGCAATTTCTCAGGCCCCACCCAAATCACAATTTCTAGGGGTGGAGGCCAGCAATCCATGGCCCTGTGTGCTAAGCGCAGAGCAGCGCTGCACTGGGCCATAAGCTTCTAAAAGCACGCAGCATGTTCCTTAGCAGTCTCTGGCTCCCCAGTACATCTCTCACTGCCTGGCATAAAGCAAAGGATCAATGAACAAACGTTGGGTTAACCCTTTGATGCAGTAAATTATGTTGTTTTACTTTTCCTTCCTGGGCAGCTAAATTATCCAGTAAAACACTAAATAGTCTTTAGTCCATAAATGCCTCCAGATATTCTCAGAACTGGAACAGTTCTTTAATTTTGAATTGGTTAAGACTCAAGTACACTGTTTGTTTCAGCCCTATTATAAGGAGTACTGCAATAACTTAAAGTTTAGAGGTGGCCAAGACAGGCACAAAAATGAAAGTTCCCTAAGATGCATAGAATGTCTCTCAAAAGTGCATTTTTATGTATTGTACTGTGTAGTAGAAAGTGATGGCCTCTGCTTCAGGCTTTCAAAGATTATTTGCAGTTTCTTTAAACAGTAATTTTCTTTCGACTATATCTTGAATATAGTAGGTTAGGGAGGAAAATGCAAATTGCACAGCCACAGTAAAGGCTGCTACATATCAAACTATTATCTCATAGACTTCTCTGGTTTCTCAGAAGTCTTTATGCTCTATGTTGCTCATAAATATTTTCTGCAGCACTTCAAGTTAGAATTAACAAGCACTAGTATGACTTATTTTTCAAATATTCAGGTATAATTTTGCCTCTAAAAACAAATTGATGTAAGAGATAGTCTATTAAATATAAACTATTCACCAAATTAATAAAAAAAAGTATGCCTTAATTTTGAAATAACTTTATGTACTCTTGTTACATGAAGGAAGGACATCATCCTCGAAGTCTCTGACACAGCCCCTCCTCCACACCACTTAGACTGGTTACTGCCAAGAGCAGCTTAAAGGGAAGTCAGTAGGAATAAACTTAATGCTTAAGTACTAGCAGTCTAATAGGATACTTTAATTATATCCTGTATACAGATTAAGTACAGATTTGAGGAAGTAAGGAGTGTGTGTTTTATATGCCTGTGTATCTTGAGGTTAGGGATGTTTTAGATGGTATAACATAAAATGGCAGTGTCTGCTAGGAGACTGCTGTCCAGCAGACATTTAAGTAAATAGGTAAATAGAAAACAATGATTATAAAGATAGCTAGAGTCTGCATGAAAAAGAATTCTCCCTCCCCATGGCCCTCCCTCAGTAAAGGTGCAGAAGAGGCAACACAAGGCAAGGTGCCCAAGTTGGGGAAATGCACCCAAAGATTTTTCAGAGGTGGATCCACAGCTGCTGGTGTCTNACACAGGCAAGGTGCCCAAGTTGGGGAAATGCACCCAAAGATTTTTCAGAGGTGGNGGCAACACAAGGCAAGGTGCCCAAGTTGGGGAAATGCACCCAAAGATTTTTCAGAGGTGGATCCACAGCTGCTGGTGTCTGACACTGCTTGGGGGTGGGGTGCACATGAGAATTAACCATTCGTTTCCTTCATCTCCCTCACAGGTATTTTCATCTCACTTACCTGACAATGTCTTGGTTTAGAAGCTCTTTTCACTAGTGCTTATGTTGATTATGGCTGAATAAATGAGAAAATTCTATTTTTGAAAATTTGCCCGTTTTAGTTTTGTGAGATGATATGTTCTAACAAGTGGAGCATAAGACAAAGTGTTGAGCAAAGGGAGTAGCTGGTCAATAAATATAAATGGTTCAGAAAAAAAGGCTGAAATGTAGGAATTAGAAATCAAAAGTGTAGTCATCGCCTACTGAAGCATCTCAATGTCAGGCAAAGCCCTGCTCTAGCACATGATTACTACAGGTTTTCAGGGCCACTTGCTCTTGTTTTGGCCTCCAAGTTTCATACTATTTAGTTCCCAGGAATGCTTTCCTCTTTTC